CTTTCACTGCAAAGCTTTCCCAACCCTGCTGGCCTTGGAGTCTCTGCCAAATGCAAGCAATGGTGGCTGACACCCTTGCTGTAGCAAGCTTTGAATAAATAGCTTCTGTTTGTTCTCATTTGGATTGTCTTTGCATATTTCTACAGACCCATCTCCCCTCCCCTACAGACACGGTAGAAAAGACAGAGAAAGGAAGGGAGTGAAGAAGTTTCTTAGAGGAAACACACCTATCCAGTCAGAGCAGTTTTGTCCAGGTGGAGGCAAAGTGGTTGGTTGGCAGCAAGAGCTGACTGGCCTCTGCTGTATTCTCCCAGGTGACTTCCGGTGGCCTTTAAAGCTTAAGTTCCTTGGTTGTTTTGGAGGCAATGATGTTGAAGGCCATGGAGGTGCCAGGTATCCTCTTCAGTTGAACCCCATTGAGAGACTGCCCAGGGAGTTTGCACGTCTCTGTCCTCCAGTATATGAAGCCTTCTTGGCCCCACTTGTCAGCCATGAACAGCAGTGGGGACTGAGAGCTGATCTTCATCCTCACGTGAAGTTTAGGGAACACGGCTTGGCCTCTGGAGGTTTCAGCATCAGTCCTTACATTCAAGTTCATTCAGGTTCCTTCTGGCACAGCTGAAGACAGATTTCTTCTTATAATCTTGAAGAACCTTCTGGTGGTCCCCTGTAGATCCTGGGTCGTTCCAGAGGAAGAGGTTGGGGTCACACCATAGGAAATATTCTGCTGGTCACACACCTGTCAAGGTGCCAAGCATGCACGCAGTTTCTATTGGACACATCCTGGGGAAAATTGGTTTTGCCTGGGGCTCCCTCCACCAGTGCAGTGATGTGGTGGGCTGAGAAGGAAGCCATAGAGACATGCTGGACTTCTGGGCTGGGATGCTGCACCTTACAGATACTGTTTGTGGGGCACAACCCAGAGGCTTGGGTGGGCTGCAGTGGGGCCACATTGGATTCCCGGTGTAGGAAAAGCAACATTGGGGAGACTGAGGCAGAAGCCCTGGAAGTCCTGGACTCTCTCACAGTTAGGTTGTATTTGCTATTCTAGATGGAGATCTGGCCACAAATAAGGGTATTCTTGCTTTGATTTGTGCTGATCGAGAACTCTCGCTGTTCACAGGGCTGGTCTTCTCCTCCTCTAGGCGAGATAAGGAGCTAGCAGTTTGAGCTCTGGTCCATTAGTGAGGCCCAGATTTCTTCCCACGTGTAACCCCCATGGACGCTACTTTCTCAGTTTGCCAGGGTCCTTGTAGTCAGTGAGTGGCTCCGTGTAAGGCTTTAGTTCCTAATCTTTATGGCCCACATTCATCCATGGAGCTCTCATGATCTGCTTTGAAGTACTTCTCTTACTGGAATTGAGGATGAGACTTTTCTTGTGCAGATTTTCACACTCCATGAACATATAGAAGGGAACATGATATTTTCCATTCAGCATCTGCTCCTGCAGCTACTTGAAGTTCTTCCATCAAAAGACAGGCATCTGCTGACACATGTATATACAATGATTCCCATGCTCCACGTATCCACTGTGGTTTAATTGTACTTTAGGCCCTGGAAGAGTTCTGGGGCAGACTGATGAGGACTGCTACAAAAGGTATCCAGCTGTTTGCCAAAGGTGAATTCTTTGCTGAAGACAACATCTGCAATCTTGATATCATAACAGCATCCAAGAGCAGGTTTTCTGCTTTCAACTCTCTATGCTCACTAAACTTCTGGTGACAGTACTGCAGAGCAGACACTGGCAGAATTTACTTGGGTCACTTTTTCTTTCACATTTCCATGAGCCACTAGGTAGTCAAACTCTCTCCTCCATTAGTGTACTCCATAAAAAGTAGAATTTTCTCAGTCTTGATCTCCTCAAATAACTGTTAGAATGATTCAAAGTCCTCTTTATTCTTACTTCATAGGAGAATTTCAAAAGCAGGAGAAGTTCTATTTAGTCTTGCCAATGATCTTGACCCTGATGCTCAACCAAGCTTGGATCAGGCTGATCTGAGCTACAGCCTCTAACCTGAGGGCCCCTACCAATGGGTAAATGTTAATGAAAGTAAACAAAAGTTTTGAGGTAAACGCTCATACTGGGTCAAGCTTGAATTCTGATTGATCCTACCCTCTATCCCCAGGGTCCCTACAAAGGAATGTGCTGGGGCAGATTCTGACCCTGTGCCAAGCTTAGATTATGTCCAGCCTGAGCTACAGCCAGTAACCTCAGAGCTACTTCCAAATACTGAAACAACAGATAAGACAGGAGGTTGGAATGATTCATAAGAGAATGGGCAAAACAAGGGGAAAGAGAAGGGAAGAGAAAGGAATTCCTCCCAGCAGGGTGGAGATCTTTAACCAGTTATTAAGAAATGGAGGAATAAAATGAGTATCGATGGGGTGAAACAGGTTTTTCTTAGTGTAGCACCCTCACAAGTTGGGTAGTTGTTAGTGAACAATGAAGGACCCTAAACAAATCTGTTTGATTCTTCCTAGTGAAGAGGGATTTAGAAAGGTGCACGACAAATATGACAATGAGAAATCTGACTTCCTATTGCCTGGAGTGATAGTCCAAACCTCATTTTGTGAATTCCTATTACTAGCGTCTTGAGGAACTGTATTAAAATAGGTTGTGAGAGTGGCTAAGTTAGGATCAGTCTCATTGGTTTAGAATACAGGTAGACCCTGACTTAGGATTTCAGTGACGATGAACCGCACTTACCACCGTCCTTTTTTTTTTTTTTGTACATCTTATTCTTAGCAATACCTATGACATACAGTGCTGCAGCATGTAATGTGCCGATGTTATCATTCTCAGATGTTCACTTGCAGATGTTCAATGTTATGATTTACCGATCAAAACACTGCCGTATAGCAGGCTGTGGCCCGGTCTACAATGAAGTCTGTGTCGATGTGAGTGTAGGGGGTCATAACAGATAGAATGTTGGGCAATGTTCGACTCTAATGAATTACACTAGACAGTCATTAGGAGTCTGACTTCAGTGTTCCGACATTGACGCTGACAAATAAAGATCGCATTATGAAGACACTGATAATAAAAGGCAATAATAATGAAACTAAGAAAAAATGGTATTCCACTTACATCAGAACAGACTTATGATGGCGTCATCGGAATGTAACCTTGTCTTAAGTCGTGGAGCACCTGTATTGTGAAATGAAGGAGAATGTTTTGGTTTACACAGGACCCATAGCTCACTCTTGAACAAACATAAAAAAATTAAAGACCAAACCAGTTGTTGTTGAGTCGATTCCGATTCAAAAAGAAAAAATGAAACCTGTTGCTGACTCATAGCAACCTTATAATACAGAGTAGAACTGCCCCATAGAGTTTCCAAGAAGCACCTGGTGGATTCATACTGCCGAGCTTTTGGTTAGCAGCTAAGCGGTTAACCACTGTGCCACCAGGGTTTCCAATTCTAACTCAGAGCGACCAGAAAGGACAGAGTATAACTGCCCTATAGGGTTTCCAAGGAGAGGCTGGTGGATTCAAACTGCCGACCTTTTGGTTAGCAGCTAAGCGGTTAACCACTGTGCCACCAGGATTCCTGAACAAGTATAGACGGTATTAAAGAATGCAAACCCACAGTACCCTGATCCCAAGGGGGCAGCAAGCCTAATAGATGGGATAAAGGACACAGTAAACTTTGTTTAAGGAGCCCTGGTGTCTCCTGGTTAAACGTTCGGCTGCTAACTGAAAGGTTGGTGGATCAACCCATCCAGAGGCTGGTGTCGGGGGAAGACCTGGCAATCTGCTCCCTTAAAGATTATTGTTGTTGTTTGGTGCCATTTAGTCGGTTCTGACTCATAGTGACCTCACGTATAACAGAACGAAACAGTGCCTGGTCCTGTGCCATCCTCACAATAGTTGCTACGTTTGAGCCCGTTGTTGCTTCCACTGTGTCAGTCCACCACCTTGAGGGTCTTCCTCTTTTTTGCTGTCCTTCTACTTTACAAAGCATGATATCCTTCTCCAGGAACTGGTCCCTCCGGATAACATGTCCGAAGTACGTGAGACCAAGTCTTGCCAGCTTAGCTTCTAAAGACCATTCTGGCTGTGCTTCTTCCAAGACAGAATTGTTCGTTCTTCTGGCAATCCATGATATATTTAATATTCTTCACCAACACCATTAATTCCAAAGCATCAATTCTTTGGTCTTCCTTATTCATTGTCCAGCTTTCACATGCATATGAGGCGATTGAAAATACCATGGCTTTCACCAGGTGCCCTTCAGTCTGCAAGTGACATCTTTGCTTAGGGTCTACGAAACACAAAGGAGCTTGGCTGCTAACCAAAAGATCGCCCGCTCGAATCCTCCAGCTGCTCCTTGGAAATCCTATGGGGTCGTTCTACACTCTCCTGTAGGGTCACTATGAATCAGAATCAACTCAACGGCATCGGGTTTTTTTTTTAAAACTTCACATAGGTTCACTGTAAGTCAGAATAGACGCCAGGGCACCCCAAAACAACCACCTCATGGTAGGAGGAAAACATCTCAGCTTCCAATATATGTGACCTACACACTCTTCTCTTTTACTTAAATTATTTGAAACGTTAACGAAAGCAGCACTGGTCCCCAGGACCCCAAAGATTTGAAATAGTTAAAAAAGAGGAGAATCAAGTTCTGTTGGAAAGACAGAAACTGAGAGCCCAGATGTGGGCACGGCCAGAGGGAAGGTCCGAAGCAGCCTGTCCCACTCGTTGCCCCTCCCCCGTCGTCCGAAACCCCGCCCCGCTCCTTGCCGTCCTAGGCCCCGCCCCT